GGAGGAGGAGGAGGAGGAGGAGGAGGAGGGGGAGGGGGAGGGGGAGGGGAGGAGAAGGAGGAGGATGAGGAGGAGGAGGAGGAGGAGGAGGCGGAGGAGAAGGAGAAGGAGGAGGGGGAGGGGGAGGGGGATAGGGATCGGTTAAACGATTCCGAGTCTTAACGGGAAGGGGCTCGGGCGCCCGAGGCTCTCCGTCGGCTGCAGGGGCATGCCGAGCCACCCTGGGTGGTGGCCCGGGGCCCCGGCTTGCAGCCCCCCTTTGCCAGAGCCTCCGCAAGAGGAGCCAGGCGAGGAAGAGCAGCAAGCAGAGGGGCCCACGGAGGAGGGCTGCCCAGGGCAGGAGGGCCCGCAGGTGGACCAGAAAGCGAACGACACCGCCCCACCTACGGCCCCACGGGCCGTAGCAGATACCTGGACACCTGGCGTGGGCTTTTGCATGGTATATGCGCTACGGCCCCCGATAGGACGTAGCGCAACCTGGAGGGCCGCAGGTGGGGTGGTGTCGTTTGTACGTTGGCCGAGCAAGGTCAGAGCGATTGCAGGCGTCCGCGCCAGCGTAAAGGGAGCTCCGCGACGCGCCAGCTTGGGGGACCTGGCTGTCGAACCATCGGCAGAGGCAAACCGACTTCGCCGGGGCTGCCTCCCGCCGACGGCGCATCTCGGATCGCGCACAATCGAAAACTGTCGAGTGGTGGTGACGGATCCTGCCCGTCTTGCAGAGCCGGGGGGCGAGCACGGTCCCCCATCGCCAGCCGCGCCCGAGCGCCGTCAAGCGCAGCGACCAGATATGGTTTGGCTTCTGATGTAGCCCCGCCCCCGAATAACTGTGCGGTAGTCAACGGTCGTAGCGCTTCGGCCCTGGGGGCCCCTCCAGTCGAGGTCCTCCAGGGGGGCATCACCTCCAGCTGGCCCCTTCGGCAACCGACGTCCGAGTAGGCCCCGTCCGCCCCATCAGCCAGGCGAGTCCCGCGCAGAGCTGGCCCAGGAGGGCTTCCGACCTGTCCACGAAAGGCTCTCAGAACATGTGTTGGTGGGCCTAAAGGCGAGCCGGGACGCTTCGCCATTGCTTGAAAGGTGGGGGTGCCCCTGGGGTTGGGAGCTCTGCAGTCGACGCCCGCTCGGGTGCGCACGCGGGCTCCTTCTGCGGCAGGGGCGGGATGGCTGCAATCTCCCCTTCGGGGCCCCTCCGGGGGGTGCCCGTTGTGACCATCCGGTTCCTCGTCGGGGCCCTCCAGCCCCTTGGCCTCCACGAGATGTTCCGCCTCTGACCCAGAGCCCTTCCTCCTCCAGGGTCGTGGGCGGGGGGAGCGAACTCCCTGTTCCCGCCGCGGAGCGGGCACTCGTGGCGCACCTCGCTCGCCAATGTTCAAGGGCCAACGTTGAAGGAGGGGGTGCCGGCTGCGGTCTCGGTGTCGCTCCGTCCCCTATCCCCGACAGCCTCTATTGAAGGGGCCCCGGGACACAAATAAATAGACACAAATGACAGGATTCCCCCCGTATATATTATATATATATATATATATATATATATATATATATATACAAGTGGCACGTGTGTGCCCAGGCTCATACAAAAAACTGAAGGGGCGTTTGAAGCAGGAGTGAAATGCAACATCGAAGTCGCACTCGAGCGCAAGTGGGGTTGCCACACCTTGCGATGTGTGTACCAGGACCCCCCAGGAAGCCTCAGGAGGCCCGACTTGGATACCAGAAGAGGCTCCAGGAGGCCCCAGGATTGTGAGTGTTGTGCGTGTGTGTGTGTGTGTGTGTGTGTGTGTGTGTGTGTGATGTATGCTTTGTGTGGTGCGTGCTTTTTGTGTGTTGTAGGTGTTGTGTGTGTGTGTGTTATGTTTGTCTAGCGTGTGATGTGTTGGGCGTGATTTGTGTCTCTGTGTGCATGTAGTTCTGAAGCCCCAGGAGGCCCCAGGAAGCCCCAGGCGGCCTCAGGAGGCCCCAGGAGACCCCAGGAGGCTTCAGGAGGCCCCAAGAGGCTCCAGGAGGCCGCAGGAGGCCCCAGGAGGTTTCAGGAGACCCCCAGGAGGCTCCGAGGCGGGGTCTGGGGTGCCAGAAGGTTCAGAAAGCCCCAAGAGGCCCCAGGAGGTTCCAGGAGTCCCCCAGGAGGCTCCGAGGCGGGGTCTGGGGCTCGATTTTGGAAGGATTTTTCAAGCGAAACCGCCATTCCCTGAGAATCGGGGTCACAATTATTGAAATTACCATGTGTTTTTGAAGGTTTTATGTTAACATGTTGAAATTCCCATGTGTTTTTGGACCCTGACGTCACGATCTGCCTGAGGGGTGCCACCGACTTCAGAATTTCGAGGATGTCCCGAGCGAAACGCCCAGAAAAATCGCGGACGCGTGCGCATTAATCGCCTCTGAGCTCTACTCCCTCGGAGAGGTGCGTATGAATATATATATATATGTATATATATATATATATATATATATATATTCCCATATCTTCTGAGGTTTCGTCTTCCCCCCCACTTCCCATAATTTCCAATCGTTTCCTGGGGGTCGACGATTCATTGTGTCTGTGTTTTTTGTTCCCATCCTGACTGCAGGGGACGCCTGCGGCGGCCCCAGCGGCCGGCCCGGGCGACGGCGCCCGGGCCCAGGGGCTTTTGGGATCCTTCTGGGGAGCCCCGCATGCTGCGCGCCGGCACCCCGCCCCACACCCGCCAGCTGCAGGCGGGGGGCAGAAAAGCCCCGCCCCCCCCCCCACCATAACAGGGCAGTTTATAATACATGGGATTTTCAAACATATACCATTTTCATACATGATTAATGTATGAATGACTTGTTGCATGAACTCATCGTTGTTTTTAATACTAACTCCATGCATTTTGAATACATGATCCGCACGCGGAGTTTGTATTAAAAACGGCACTGTGCAGTGAACCAGTATAGTAAGGATGCGCGAGAAGGATGCAAGGGCCTTGGACGCCCATTTCGAAGCTTGTACCCCATACAGTTGGGCTCGACTGGAGAGGGCACGCGAGAGGACACAAGAACCTTTCGAGGGCCACATCGCCGTAGGAGTGTAGACAGCGTGGGTCGCGAACCACAGGACACAAGGGTACCCTTGATCTGGCAGGGCCGACCTACTAATCCGGGCCGACTGTAATACAGTCAACCAGTATAGTGAGGATGCGCGAGAAGGATGCAAGGGCATTGGATGCCCATTTCGAAGCTTGTCGAGCGGGGCGCGGCCAGCGAAAGCGGCGAAGGATGGACCGGGGAGGCAAGGATGCAAGGGTACCCTTGGGAAGGTTGCCCATCCTTACTATGCGGGTTGACTGTAATCACCCCGACACGCGAAGCCGTTTAGCAAACGCACCCAAAGAAGGAATCAAGCAGGGCAGGGCTGTTCAGTAAACGCCCAGGGCCGTTCAGTAAACGCCAGTTGTCCGGTCTGGGTGGTTTTTCCTCCGTTGATGGAGGCAGAGAAACACCCGGGGCATCGCGCCCCGTTTCAGGGGGGCTGCCAATTCACCCTTCGTGAAAAGACTTGCTGAAGGGGCCCCAGGACACACAAATAAATACACACACATAAAAATATTCCCCCATATTTTCCAGTATTTTCTGGGTTTTTGTCTTCCCCCCCACTTCCCATCTTTTCGTATATTTTCTGGGGAATCGTCGATTGATTGTGTCTGTGTGTTTCTTCCCCTCCTGACCTGCAACCTGCAGGCTCGAAGCCAGAGGGCTGCGGGACGGGGAGAGGGCTGGGAGGAAACGGGCAGAGGCCACAGCGGGGAGCCCTATAAAGTTCCAGGCCGGGCCCAAAGAACAACATTTGCTGCAATGATTTTGGGATCCTCGACTTTTCGAGCTCCCGACGCCCAAAGAACAACATTTACCTCAATGCTTTTGGGGATCCTCGACGTTTCGAGCTCCCGACGCCCAAAGAAAAACATTTGCTTCAATGATTTTGGGTTCCTCGACTTTTCGAGCTCCCGACGCCCAAAGAAAAACATTTGCTTCAATGATTTTGGGATCCTCGACTTTTCGAGCTCCCGACGCTCCAAGACGGCCAAAGAGGACCCCAGGGCCGCCCCGAGACGGCCCAGGCGGCCCCCAGAAAGGGGACCCCCGACACGGCCCAAGACGGCCCAAAGACGGCCCCAAGAAGGGAAACACACACACGAGTCGAACATCTGAGACTTCTAACCCAAGAGGCCCTCAGGAAGCCTCCAAGAGGCCCCAAAAGACCCCCAAGGAGCCCCGAAAACGCCCCACGGGGCCCCAACACGGCCCCCCAACGGGCCTCAGAACGGCCCCCAAGAGGCCCCCGAGGGGCCTCCTGCGACATCCCAACGAACATCCTAGAGGCCTTTTGCCTGGGTAGTCGAAGCCAATCTGGCGCCAATCTGGCAGGCCCAATCTGGCAAACGGGGGCAATCTGGCGAGGGAGCCAACGCGGATCCAGTCTGGCGAATCACCCAAATCATCCAGTTTGGCCGGGCCAGATTGGCCCTTGGGGCCCAATCCAATCTGACAGTCTGGCCTTCGACTACCCAGCTTGCCCACAACCCAGACCCGGTTGCAGGAGGGGCCGAAGGCCACTCGATACTGCACCACACAAGCTCCACATCGAGAGCGCAGGAGCCCACTGCTGCGGGTCCACGCTGGCAGACCGGTCGCTCGGGCTCGCGAAACGGTGCGACGACCTTGGCGTGGCAAGGGGAGCCTCGCGGCAGCAGTTCGAGGAGGAGGAGGAGGAGGCGGTGGATGAAGGGTAGGAGAAGCGAGGACGGCAGGGGGGAGAGTGGAGGCCTCCCAACACAGGGGTCCCAGTAGATGGGGTCGGACGATCGCACTGCATCGGCGATGCATCAACGATACATCGACGATGCACTGGCGACGTCAGCGACGCCTCGGCGCCGTCGGCATGGAGGAAATCCGGCTCTGCATCGAGCCGCACCGCCGATGCATTGCCGATGCGGCGCGGTCCTCCGACCTCATCTGCTCTGACTCCATCTGGGAGGCCTAGAGCAAGAGAGCGAGAGAGAGAGAGAGAGAGGGAGAGAGGAGGGGATGGGGAGAGGAGAGAAGAGGGGGGTAGCGTGTCGCTGGACTGCGCTCTGCGGCAGCCTCGGAAGGCTGCCTCGCCTCTCCCCCATGCAGCGCTAGCGAGCGAGGAGCCTGTCGCAGTACACGACCTCCCCCGCGTCAACGTAGCGCCCAGCGACCAGCTGCCAGAAGCTGCCCTGGCCCACGAAGACGACCCTGTCCTCGGGGCGCTTGCGCACAGACTCTCGGAAGGCATCCGCTCGAGCGGACGCCTCCCCCGCCGCCTCTGGCCACCAAGCGTCGGGCAGAGCGCTCCAGCCCTCCCACTGCCGGGCGCACAACGGCACCCGGTCTAGCAGGGCTGGCTTGGGGATGCCATGGGCCTGCAGTGTTGCCCGGCTGTCGCAAGCGGCCGGGTCCACCACCACGCGCGCCGTCCCGCCTGCTGCGTGGAGGGCGTTGGCGGTGAGCACGGCGTCCACGAGGGGCGTGGTCACGAGCAGGTCGGCGGCAAGGACGGCCTTCCCCGCAGGGCCCTCATGCAGACGTTGATCCGCAGTGCCGCCCTCCGCCTGTCCGACTAGCGCCACCCAGCGGGGCGCCGAGGGCACGAGGTCCGGCGAGGAGAACACGCACCCCGGCAGCGCAGGCGCCGAGAACCCCCCGAGGGCGGCCACGTGCTCCCTGGCGCGCGCCTCGGCGCGTCGGTAATCCTCGCTGTCTTTGCCCAGCCGCGCCTCGTTGACCACGGCCCACGACGTGTTGAACACGGCCCAGATCAGATCGTCTCGCAGGCTGCACTGCTTCCTCGCCGCCCTGAACTTCTCCCACGCCGACTTCGACTCCACATGCGCCGGGCCGTACACGCGCTCGTTGGCGGCCCCCCACGCGCTGGTCCAGACGACTTGCAGAAGCTCCGACACTTCGCGCCGCCTACGCTCTGCGGAGCCGTCGCCTGGCAGCACAGCCTCAAGCCCTTGGGCAACGCGGCTCGTCGCGTGCTCCACTCGCGCCTTCAGCAGCTCCGTTCGCACGTCCAGCTCGCCGTGCAGGATCCGCTCGGCGCACGCGGCGCTGGCCGCGAGCCGCGCGAGCTCCTCCACCAGCGCGACAGACACCGTGGCGCCGTCGCTGCCATCGGGCTCCACCGCGCGCCAGACCCCCGGAACGACCACGGAGCAGATGGCTCGAGGCGGGACTTCGATGCAGACTTCGACACCGCCGAGCTCGCTGCTCGCCACGTCGCCCTGGCCCTCCCTGAGGTACACCGCGCTGTCGGGCTCGGTCACAAATGTCTGCGAAATCCGCTCGTTCGTCCTGAACCCGGGCGCCCGGACGGTCAGGCAGCGCGGCTCAGCGGCCTCGTTGAGAAGCACCGCGGCCAGCCGTCCCCGGCCGTCATCCTCGGAGGGCTCGCTCAGAGAACCACGCACTCCACCTGCTTTTTCCCCTCCACCCCTCCTCCTCCTCCTCCTCCTCCTCCTCCTCCTCCTCCTCCTCCTCCTCCTCCTCCTCCTCCTCCTCCTCCTCCTCCTCCTCCTCCTCCTCCTCCTCCCCCCTGCCATCCGCCTCCTCCTCTTCATCTTCCCCCTCCTCCCTTCCCTCTCTCCGCTTCCACTTCTTGCCCTCCCCCTCCCCCTCCATGATCCACTGAACTAAAGGAGCCCAGGGACACACAAAGAAATACACACATATCCCAGGATTCCCCATATTTTTGCGATAGTTTCGCCTTCCCCCCCCCACTTCCCATATTTTCCTGGGAATCGACGATTCATCGTGTCTGTGTGTTTCTTTCCCTCCTGATCAACTTTGGCCATGAGGGCAGGACGGGAGTTCTGCCCCCCCTCCCCCCACGCTCCTGGAAAGAGAAGCCGGCGGCGACCCAAGGCTCTGTGCTCTGCAGCATCTCCATGCCGGGGCGCAGGAAGCGCGAGAACTGGGCGAAGACATAGAACTTGGGGTGCGGCAGCGTGATCGCCTGATCCCGCCCCCCGCCCGCGACCCCCTTCTCTTCCCTTGGTCCACCACCGCGCCCTACAAGGTGACCGGCACGAGGGAGCCTTGGGAAGCAGCTCTATCCAGCGTGCTTCTGGCCGCGCTCGTTGATTACCAACTGCGCCCCGCCCATGGAGAAAGCTGAAGGGCCCCGAGAGGGCGGCCACAAGACGCAGAGGTTTCGAAACCCAACATTCCCTCGCCATTCGGAGATGAGATTCCCCCCGAGGCCCAACTCGGCTCCTGGGCCAAACAAGCAGGAACCGTTAGAGCTTGCTAGCTCCAATCGAACTGCAAGTGCTTGGGGCACATAAGTGCAATCGAAGGTTCTCTCGGCCTTCAGGAGCCATGGGGGTCAAGCACGGGAGCATGGCCATCCGCACCGCACTCATGTCACTGCTTCGCTACTTGCCTTACCGGAAGATCGTGGTCAGCCAGGGGCCCAGAGTGGAAAACAGCTCCTTACCCCTCCCAGCCGAAACTCGCCGCGAAACGATTCCATGACCGATCTCGCCCGACCTGTCGAACCGCGCCAGGTCATCGCTGCGAGGACCCACTATGGCGGCCGCAAGAAAGAAACGAAACACGAGCCATGGTCGCAGGGGTGGAAATCCATACCCTCGGCCCTGAAGCCATCTTATGTTTGTTCCTTCTTCTGGGCTCTCCTCCCTTTGCCTCCCGATGGCCTCCGTCCATATGGGGGAATGGGCAGCTGGGCATATCCTGTGCTCCCACCCCCTTGATTCCTGTAGGCCCCTGCCCCCCCCCTCGGGCCATAACTGGATTCCATCACCGGAATCCCCCGTTGTCCTCCTCCCCGTCGTCTTCGTCGTCGTAGTCGTCTTCCTCCTCCTGTTCGTCGTTTCCTCGTCCTCGACCACCTCGTCGTCGTCGTCGTCCTCCTCCTCCTCCTCCTCCTACTCCTCCTCCTCCTCCTCCTCCTCCTTCATCATGAGCCAGGTCACGAAGGAAGCACCGCCAGCCATGCTGCCGCCGTGTCTCTGGATCGACGAGCTCTCAGAGGCCAGTGTAGGCCCTGGGCGGCAGGTCAGAATCGAGCTGACAAAGGGCGTCGCCTTCACCTGCGACGCCAACGTCGCCAGCTGGCTCAGCGTCTCCCCGAAGAGCGTCCTTGTCAGCAACCGCCACTGGGCCGCTCTGCGGATGGCGCGGGCGATTCGCAGGGCCAGCCACGTCACGGCAGTCAGGTCGGCACCCTGCCTGGGCGTCGACATGAATGCTGGGCACCGCTGTGGGTGGGCTACTCGCACCAAGCGGGTCGTCAAGTCCGAGGCAATCCACGATCGCGTGGAGGGCTCCACCAAGACCTCCAAGCGACACAAGACGTGTGCCAAGTTCGAGCGCGCGTCGGCGCAGGCATCGGCGACCTACGTGCACCAGATCCACGGCGTGTTCGGCCAGGCCACAGCGCTTACGCCAGCGGCTTGGAGCCGTCTCAGCAGCTGATGGTCGCGGTAAGTGCTTGGACACGGTGTTGCAGCTGCGGGCTGATATTGCTGACCCAGCATGCAAATTGCGGAGGGAGCAGCTCGGCCTGTGGCTTCAGATGTGGCAGCGCTGTCCCTGCCGGCGCCAGCGAGGGAAGCGGGCTTGGATGGCCGTCCACTCCAAGCTTCGCGACCTCGAGCCTCAGCAGCGCTCGCGGTGGATTCGAGGCCCCATCTCCGCAGTCCAAGCCCTTTGTGCTCGAGTACGACTGCTCCCCCGTTGGCCCGAAGGGCTGGGTGCGTATCCACCCTGATGAACAGCAAGAGCGAGGGGCTGTCCCTGCTGGTGGCGATCACGTGGTGGGCCCTGCAGCGCCGCTCACAGCCACGCTCAATCGCACCGTCGTGGATAGGAAGGATGTGGGAGCCCGCCGCTGGGCGTTGGGCTGGCGAGGGGAGGCAGGACGGCGTCGACTCGTGCTCTCTGCGTGACCTGCTGGGCATCATGAGGCAGGTGCCGCGGGCACTGCTGCTGACGGGGCTTGGGCCCAGCAGCGGTGCAAGCAGCTCTGCAGCGACTTCGACGACGACGAGCTCTGCGCCATGTGCGGGCGCGCCGTCGAGAGCGGCTTCCACAGGAGCTGGGAGTGCAAGGCCAGCGTCGCGAGCATGGCCTGCGCCATGAATGATCACCTCATCCCACGTGCCAAGGCTCAGGTGGAGGCCCTGCCGTGCTTCTGGCTGCGAGGCATTCTCCCAGCGGCGTGGACTGCAGTGGTAGCGCCCCGCGGCCTGGAGCCCTGCACCTCGGTGGGCTCGCGATGCGGGGCCGCCTGGCTTGGGCGTGACACGGCTGCAGCTCCCCTGGTGCTCTTCGGCGACGCGAGCGGGGGCCCCGAGTCCAAGTCGCCGACTCTGAGGCGGGTCGGCCTGGCAGTGCGCCGCATGTGTGACGACACCGTCCAGCTCTGTGCGGGACTGCTGGGCCTCTGGCGGGCGAGCGGCAAACTGTGCACCGCGGCGGGCTGCGGGCGCTGCTTCTGGCCATCGAGTCCTCCGAGGGGGTCAGGTTCTTCTACACGGACGACCTCGCCGTGTGCCAGGGCTGGTGGAGGCGGCTCGACCAGCGGCCCGATGGGCCCGACTAACGCGCACTTGCGGCATCGCGTCGGCTTGGCTCTCCATGGGCGTCGACGCGCCGTGGTGTCCGCGGAGCACGTCAGCTCGCACCTCACCGTCGAGGAGGAGGATCCCTGGCGCCGTGCTGCGGGGCAACGCGGTGGCCGACCTGCTGGCCGGCATCGCCGCCAGCGAGGCGCGCGTCCCCGCCGTGGATGGCGCCCGAGTGCTGGCCGCGGAGGTGGCAGCGTCACAGGTGCGCTGGCGGCTCCTCCGTGCTGCACTGGACGCGGCGGCCGCCGAGGGGCGCTGCCGGCGGCGGGCTATAGCCCCAGGGCGAGGCCAGCCGCGCCCGCGCCGCGGCTCTGTGCGACTTTCGCCTCGTCCTTCCAGCTCGCCAAAGGGCGGGCGCAGCTGCCGTGCGTGGCGCTGCTCCAGCTCGGGCGAGGCCACGACGTCCTGGCTGCGAGCGCCGTGTCGTGGGCTCCACCGGTCGACCGAGCTGCTGAGCGAGCGGAGCAGGCCGGCTGGCATGCAGGCGTAGATCGGGGGCCCAGCGCGGCGACGGGTCACACCGCCCCCGACTGCACCACGCGCTGGACTGCTGGCTCTGCGAGCGCCGTGGCTTCCTCGGGGTGCCCAGCGGGAGGTCGCTGGGCGACGTGCTCAAGAGGCCGTGCCCGCCCGGGGGCCCCACCCGCACGGGCCTGGTTTGCCTACTCCGAGTTTCTTCATGAGCGTCGGGGGGGCGCCACCCCCGCCGACAGCCCCGCATCGACCCCCTTTCGCGGGCAGCGACCGCGCGCCGAAGGCGCTCCGACCCCCGTCGCGGCGCGACGGCGAGGCGATCCCCCCCTCGCTTCTTCAGAGACCTGGCGCGGGCTGTGGCCCACGGCGGGCAGGAGCTGGAGGAGGAGGAGGAGGAAGACGAGGAGGAGGAGGAGGAAGACGAGGAGGAGAAGGAGGAGGGAAGAGGAGGAGGAGGAGGATGAGGAGGAGGAGGAGGAGGAGGAGGCGGAGGAGGAGGAGGAGGAGGACAAGTGGGCCGCGGGGCGCCAGCAGGAGCTTGTCGCCGTCGAGGCCGCCGAGGTGAACTCCCGATCCTGCTCGCCTGCGCCGTCGTGCTCGATCGTCGGCGGCCACGTGGCCGTCTTCCTCGGCCGCGCGCCCGGAAGCGCGCCGCCCGCCCCGTCGCGGGCCGCGGGCTGCATCGCCAGGTCGAAGCTTCGTGCAAGTCAGAGTCTCCTCCTCCTCCTCCTCCTCCTCCTCCTCCCTCCTCCTCCTCTTTCTCCTCCTCTTCTTCTTCCTCCTGCTCCTCCCTCTCCTCCTCCTCTCGCTCCTGCACCCCTCTCCTTCTCTCCCCCTTCTCCTGCGCACTCGCCCCTCCGCCCCCTGCTCCTGCTCCTCCTCCGCCTCCCCTGCTTCCCGCCCCTCCCGGCGCCCCTCCCGCGAGCCGTCCGGGCGAAACTCGGCCTCCACGAAGCCCCACGAGCACCGGTGCTCCACCAGCTGCCAGTAGCACCACGCCGTGGGCCTCATGTAGTGCAGGTCCTCCGGTGGCCGTCGCGAGGGCCGAGCTGGCGAAGACGGGGGGTGGCCTTCCTCATTGTCATCCCTCCTCCCCCGGCTCCTTCTTCTCCCCCTCCCCCTCCTCCTCCTCCTCCTCTTCCTGCTCCTCCTCCTCCTCCTCCTCCTCCTCCTCCTCCTCCTCCTCCTCCTCCTCCTCCTCCGCCTCAGTGTCGGCCGATACCACGTATGCGACGGAACTTGCCTCTCTTTTTGTTCCTCTCCTCCCCCGGGGGGAGGGCGGAAGAACAAATTGACGGGGGGGGCGGAAACGGGAAGGGAAACGTGCATGAACGGGGGAGAAAGGAGCGGAGGAGAGAGAAGGGAAAGGGGAAGAGGAGGGATAGTGCAGGGGAGGGGGGGAGGGAAGACTGGGAGGAGGAACAGGAAAGGGAAGGAGGAGGGGAAGGAGGAGGAGGAGGAGGAGGAGGAGGAGGAGGAGGACAAATGGTGAGGAGGGGGGACTGCGCGGGCGGGGAGCGGGAAAGACAAAGTCAGTGGTAGGAGGATTGGGGGCATGATGGAGGGGGATGGGGACACGCAGGAGGTTGAGGGAAGGTGGCATGGAAGGTGGAATCTGGTGCTAACCTCGACTGTCCTTTCTCAAACACGGGCCGACACGACCCAGACATGCATTCCGGCACCCCTCCCCGACACAGTCCCGTCCAGCAGCCGGCAACGAGCCAAGCCGTGGCGGCGAAGGGTCCTGCCAGCGGCCCCGAGACGGCAGAGGTCGGAAGCAGGGGGCGGGGTGGGAGGCCTCCCGAGACTCCTCGGCCAACTCGTGCGGCCCCCCATTTCGCGAACGCTTGCGCCCCGCGTCCTCCAGGATGGTCCGCGCGGTCTCCAGGCCGCCCTGGGAGCGGAGGCGGCCCCCCCCGGGCTGCCCCCCCCCCCCCCCCTCCCCTACCCAGCCGCCCCCTGTAGTCCTGGGGGTGAGAAAAACCGCGGGGGTGCAAAAAACCCTCGAGTGCGGGGGTGAAAACACACCCTCGGGTGCGTTTTTTTTATCCCAGGGCCTTTTCGACCACGGCTGCCCCCCCTAAAACAGGGCTAGGATCGGGATAAATCGCTCCAGAGCGTTCCGGAGCACTCTCAGAGCGTTCCGAAACGCTCTGGAGCGGCCGCGGCGCCCAATACATCCTCCAAGCCCGCCGATTCTCAGAGATTTCGAGTTATCCCGATCCGATTTTGTCCCGATCCTCGCGTCGTCTTATGCCCCCCCCCCCGTTTCAGGTTCCAAAATCACCCTGGAACGGTTCCGGGGTGAAAATTGGAACCTGAAACGGGCGATTTTCCATCTGGGCGCTCTCGGGAGCCTTGCGGGCGCATCTTGGGGAAGGGGGTTGGTGCACCCGAGCTCCCGCAATGGCAATTTTCCAAATTAAATCTCTTATTGGGGAGCTTGTTTTTCGCGGCTGGGCCCTCCCGCGCAGCGTCGGGGGGCCCCAGATGGATTTTCACCCCGGAACCGTTCCAGGGTGAAAATCCATCTGGAACCCCCTCCCGACGCAAAACATTTCTGTCGGGGATGGGGGGGGTGTGCCCGAGCTCCCAAAATGGCCATTTTCCAAATGAAATCTCTTATTGAAGGGCTTGTTTGTCGCGGCTG